TGATAACAGATAACACATTTCTAAACACGTTTATGATGTGTCGGCAGCCATGCTGTGTGTGACGTGTGTTTGTTTGGGGGAATGCATGCGTTTGTATCCCTTTCAGGTTATAGCCGTTTAGTGGTATTTGAAATTATCACAATGAGATGTTATTTTTTTAATTTTAAGGTATTCGTGACTTCTAATATTAAATGTAAATGTTGGTAATATGGCAATTTGTTATCTCAATAGTAAATGCAAAATAAACAAAGTTCTTAATATTTGTTCAGATTTTAAAATTGTATGGTTTCCAAGTTTTCTCATAGAAATAATCAAAACGTGTAAGTTGCTGTTAAAATTATATGCACATTCATAATGTATATTCATATAATATTTTTAAAAAATACTATTTAAAATTTGACTTTAGTTTAAAGTAATCACAACAAGAATTAATTAGTGAAATGGATGTGAAAGTCAAGGAAAGACTTTGTCAAGTGTGTGGCGAAAGTAAACAAATAGGTATTATATTCATTGTATTAAAAATTATTTTACTATACATAATTGTTTAAAATATAATTTATATTCTAGGTAGAAATTTTTGTGCCTTTACCTGCGAGTCGTGTAAAGCATTTTTCCGGAGAACTGCGCTCAAGACTATAGTTAGATATTAATACTAATTACTAACAAATTATCTAAATTTAATTAAACTAATTAATCTTTTAATAGCAATTACACTGCGCTTCAAACGGCAAATGCGAGATCAATGTACAGACGAGACGATTGTGTCCGAAGTGTAGACTTAAAAAGTGTTTCGACATCGGGATGAGAATTGTGTGGAGTTTTCAATATAACTTATTATGTTTTGATAATTATTTTACAAATAATTTCTTGATTCAGGATTTCATACGAAGTGAAACGGATAACAAAATTCGCAGACAATTGATGATTGAAAAGAAAATGAAAAAACTATTGCAAGACATGAGCGCATATTCTGGCGATTCTTCGGACAACGATTCAAACGCTAATTCCGGACAAGAATTTCCAGAATCCGATGGCAACAGCAGTGCCATCGATGACATGGATGACTGGATTGAACACACCTGCGATGACTCGCAAGGATCGAGTCGACAGGTTATGGACATAAAATACTGTCTGTCGGGAAAGTCGGATATATTAACTGAAATCCGACAAAAGGCACAGAAACTAGCGGTCATTCCGATGTGCAAAACGCTGACCGACTATAACGGCATAAATCAGTTGGAAAGCCGTCGTATCGACGAGCTATTGGTGGCGACCAACGTATTCA